ACAGATTATCTGCACGCAGGCTGCGACTGTGGATTGCCCAAAATCCTTAACACTACGCCACCACTTTCCACTGAGGGCCAAAGCATCGGTTGTGAGATGAACAAGTTTGATGATATGATGGCACTACTAGCGGAGGAGGTCCCCGAGTTCTCTCAGGTGGTCGCCGTTGACGCTCAATTTCGCCTGTTTGGCAGGGCTTGGTGTGTTGCAGAACTTGTGCAAGCCCACGAGTCAAGCTTAAAGCAGTTCGTCAAGATGCATTCCAGGCAAGTTCTGGAGAAGTCGCAAAGCGAGTTGCAAGAGCTTCGAGTGGAGGACATGCAGGCGTCGCGTGCGGAAGACGTGCAGCTCATCTTGGAGAAGATCTCAGACAAGAGCATGTTCAATCAGAAACTGCAGTCGCTCATCTTTGACGAAGCAGGCCTTCTGTCTAGCTGGCGTCAGTTGGACACAGCCGGACGCATGGAAGAAGTCGGAACCTTACTAAAGTGGAGTCTGGCAGACGATGGAAAAGATATCGTTTGGCAGTATTGGCCAGAAGTGGAGTCTGGAAAATAAGGTGTTTGGTATGCGACCATGCATGAGTGAATGTGCAGATCTTTTGTGGGGAACTCCCCCCATCTCAGGAAACATGCCAGCCAGATGCTGGGTTGTACAGCTACTCAGTGTTCACGGCATCCTCCTTTTCCTTGAAGAGGCTTCTCTCAACATGTATAGTTTCCTTTACATAGTGTCGGTAAGCACGCCTACAATGCGGCATGTCTTCGACAACTTCGGCTATATCGCCAGCTTCTGCAACGGCGATCCGATTCCAGTTTTGCCGCAGTTGCCTTTTGCAGACACGCTGGTGTAAAGACCATCGCAGTCGCAGCCGGTCAGCAATCGCAACCTGTGGCTCGAACTCGATTTGGATATCTTGTCCGGCTCATCCTGCATGGATACGGATGCCTGGTGTCGCAGGAACGCCTTCTGCTTGATGCTGTCCCCTAAACCCTACACCCTATACCCTAAATCCTAAACCCTATACCCTAATCCGAGTTGTGAGAGCGTAAACCCTATACCCTAAAACTTTAAACCCGGAAGCCACCGTGCAAAGACTTTCACTTCAGAGGACCCCACAGTCAGAGGAGGAGGTCGGTTGGTGGTGAGACTTCGAGGTTTCGTGTACTTGGACCCTACAGTTTAGGGTTCAGGATTTAGGGTTCAGGGTTTGGGGTTTAGGCTTTTGGGTTGTAGGGTTTTAGGCTTTAGGGTTCAGGATTTAGGGTTCAGGGTTTAGGGTTTAGGGTTTAGGCTTTTGGGTTCCAGGGTTTTAGGGTTCAGGATTGAGGGTTCAGGGTTTAGGGTTTAGGCTTTTAGGCTGTAGGGTTTTGGGGTTTAGGGAGAGAGGGTTCCTATCAATCCTGCAAAAGGCAGGTTATGCAGGATCCAGGTAAGAGCCTGGATTAAGAATGCCCTTGTCATGGGTTCCACTGTGTTGAGGTGTTATACCCAGAAGTTGTTCTTGCAGTAGGGCTTGGGGTTTCGGGTCACAGGCTTCTGGTTTTGGATGAATGGGTTGGGTTCGGACTTTCCGGTTCAATTTCATGGTCCTGCCGACATTGCGGAGTGTCTCTTGCAAAGCCGAACCGAGGATGACCCTAAACCCGTACAGCCCCCACATTTACCAGGAGGAGGATCAGGAGCAGGGGGGACGATCATCTGACACCGCTAGCCGTGCAGAATACAAGGTCTGAGGCCACGGTGTCTGAGGAGTTTAGGGTGTTGTTACAGTGCACTTTGAAGGTACTAGAAGGCCACTGTGAGGGTACGATATGGGCAGTAGAAGGGTATTGGACGGGTTCTAGAAGGGCTTTAAAAAGGTTTCCCACGCTGGAAGCCAGCTGATCGGTCAAGCCTAGCACCGGAATTGCGTTTGAATTGGAAGCCTGAAGCCCAAGAGTGTGCATTGGACGTTTGAAAGAACCCTCATTGTACCCTAGAGTATACCATTCAAGCGAACCTTCCGCCTTAAGCAATCTCAGCCCGAACCCAGCGCGAGCCCTGAACCCTAAACTCTAGCCGGCCCTAATCTCGGAAGTGACCGGGCTCCACACCCGAAGCCATACCATAGCATAGTATAGTATATATTGTAGTATATTATAGTATATATTGTAGTATATTATAGAAGAGTATATATTGTAGTATATTATAGTATATATTGTCGTATATTATAGTATATATTGTAGTATATTATAGTATCTCTAGCGTAGTATAGTATAGTCCTAAACCTGAAATCTTAAAGCCGACAGATGTAGCCAGGCCAGGGCAAGACCGATTCTTCTGCGGTTGGCCTCTCGTGGCCGGAATCTCGGAACAGAGGTTTCAGGGCTTAGGGCTTTGGGCTTTGGGCTTTAGGCTTTAGGGTTTAGGGTTTAGGGGAAATTCCATTCTAGCCCCTCGCCGTTCTCTCTCCAAAAACCCTATCCCAACCACTGTTTGAACTTAAGGCTCTAGTTTTCAAGGGTTTTCCAACCGCCATATTTAAACTTAAGGCTTCTATGTTTCAAGCTTTTCATACCTTTTAACACTTGGGGCTTCTATTTTTTTACGGTTCAGGGTGCTGGGGTTAAAGGGCTTCAGACTCTCAGAGCCTTTTTCAGTTATGAACAGGACCCTTCAAGGGGACCCAAAACCCTAGACCCAGAGACAGCGCAGTTGAATCTCAGTCCATTTCTGGGGAACCCGAGGTCGAGGACCTCGATAGGCTACCTGTGGGCTCCCTTCATCCTACAACCCTGAACCCCCGAAGGGTTCAGGGTTGAGAGCTTGGAGGCCCCAAACGCTGTAACCCGAAACCCACAGAGCCTGCAGCCCTAGACGCCCCAGGCCCGAACCCCTCAGACCTTAAAACCTAAACCACGAAAATCCTAAGCCCCAAAACCCCCAAACTTAAAGACTCTACACCTTCAATGCCTTAAGCCCCAACCCTAAACTCCCTAAACCTAAACCCTAAACCCTGAGCCCCAAAGCCCTCGTAATCGTGACCCCTACAATAGATCCTTAAAGAAAGGCACACACACCAAAAACCCCAAGCGATTATTCTCGTTACCCCGTTTGGATCCCTCAAACAAGCCCTTCTTTCGAACCCCCAGCCCCCACCCCAAGCTTCCCCTTAAACCCTAAATCCCTATTTCAGACCTAACCCCTCCTAAACCTTGAACCCTGAACCCTAAACCCTGAATGCTCAAAAAAACCAACAACCCTAAACCCTAAGCCCTAAGCCTTAAGCCCTAAACCCTAAGCCCTAAACCCCGAAGCCCTAAACCCTAAACCCTAAACCCTGAACCCTAAGCCCTAACCCCTGAACCCTAAGCCCTAAGCCCCTAAACCCCTGAACCCAGAAACCCCGAAGCCAGCGAGGTGCAGGTCGAGCCCGAGTTCTCCGCCGGTCTTCTGGGCCGACTCGACCGGGGTGCCTCGATCACCTTTAGGGTCGAGGGTTTAGGGTTGAGGGTTTAGGGTTGAGGGTCGAGGGTTTGGGGTTTAGGGTTGAGGGTTTAGGGTTTGGGGGGTTTAGGGTTGAGGGGTTGAGGTTTTAGGGTTGAGGGTTGAGGGTTTCGGGTGAAGGGG